CCGGCCAGGCCTTCCCCAATACCATGCTGTTTTGATTATCACAACTTTGTAATATATTTTGAGGTCAGGATGTAAAATGCCTCCTACTTTATGGAGATATATGGCCTTTTATGATTCCAGACAAATTTTATGATTTTTTTTTCTATTTTTGTAAGGACTATCTCTGGTAGTTCAATCAGAATTTCATTGAGTTTGTAGATAAATTTGGGTAAGACTGACTTTTTTGGAGAGGTTTTTTGCTATAGGGCATGTGCGCTCACCAGAAAAACAGAGAGAGACAGAGAGACAGAAAATAAGAAATCACCCCCCACGGGGGATGGCCATGCTGCAATACCTTTTCCTCCATTCTCCCCTCGGGATCCTGGGCATGTACGCATACATGCCCAGTGTGAGTTTAAGCCACTGGGTCCAGGACTCGAACCACGGTCAACTACATGGGAGTCCAGCGACATAACCATTACGCTAACTGCTGGTCCCAAGACTGATATTTTAAAAATTATTTTATTTAACCATTTATTTACTTATTTAAATTTGACCAGAGAGGGACAGAGTAACCAGAGAGGGACAGAGTAGGAGAGAGAAAAAGTGAGACAGCAAGCCACCAGCTCCAGGACTTGGACCGCAGTCTGCCATGTGGGAATCCAGCACCTTTAACCACCATGTCACCTGCCGGTCCGGGTAAGACTGACATTTTGATTATATTTATTTTTCCAATCCAGGAACATGGGATATCTTTCCAATTTTTGTATAATTTTCTCTTTCTTTAAGTTTCTCAGTTTTCCTTGTAGAGGTCTTTCACTTCTTTGGTTAGGTTTATTCCTAGGTATTTTTTTTAAAGAATTGTTTATTTTATTTTATTTATTCATTTTATTTCAATTTGACCAGAGAGAGACACAGAGAGAGCAAGAGGGAAAGTGAGAAAGCAAGCCACCAGGTCCGGGACTCGAACTGTAGTTGGCCATGTGGGAATGTCCAGCATCCCAACCACCTTGCCATCTGCCAGTCCCCTATTCCTAGGTATCTTATATTTATTGTGGCTATTGTAAATGAGGTTGCTTTTTTCAGTTCTAGAGAACTGGGAGACTATTAGCTTTGTTTGGGTGTCTTAGTCTGTTTTGTGTTGTTGTTAACAGAATTTCATAGACTGAGTAATTTATAAGGAAAATAAAACTCTCACAGTTCTGGAGGCTGGAAAGTCCCATATCAAGGTGCCAGCATCTGGCAAGGGCCTTCACACTGCACCATCCCATGTCGGGAGGCAGAGGGGCAAGTGAGCACAACAGAGTCAGAGGAAGGGGACCTAACTTATCCTCCACACCCACAATAACGGCATGGCATTGATCCTTTCAAGAGGGCAGAGCCCTCATGACCTAATCACCTCTTAAAGATCTCACCTCCCTATACTGCTGGGAGGATTAAGTTTCCAACACCTGAACTTAGGAACACACTCAGACCATAGCACGGGGAGAATCCCAGTAACTGCAGAGCATTTGACATCCTGCTCCCTGTTCACTAAATACCAGCAGTGCTAATTAAGGACCCCAAAATCTCAGCCACCAGCACAGCTTCAACAATTACCTCGTCACCACTGACCTTCGAGGATCACCATCTCCAACCTTTTATCCCTTCTGGTCTCAGGGTATGAATTTCCTGGGTTTTGGTCATTTCCTCTGGGATATATGCACCGCAGCATGTCCCAGTCTGAGTTCATGACTCCCTCTAGCCCTCGCCTTGTTCCAGCCTGGGTTCCCAAGCCCAGTGATGGCACCCCATCCACCCCAACACCCAGGGCATACAACAAACATTTAGCCTTGACTCTTTCCTCTCTCCGGTCCCCTCATCCAACCACCCATCAGTCCTAGGGATTTCACCTGTTCAAAAATGTCAAGTTCATCTACTTCTGTCCGTTGCCATAGTCACTCACTGACTAGTTCAAGTTCCTTTCATCTCTTACAAAAATCTTTGCAACACCATCTTCACTGCCACGCTGCGTCTACTATGTAGTCCAGAGAGCCAGACTGCCTGCATTCAAATCCTGACTCTGCCACTTAGTGGCTGTGCAATGTTAGCTGGACCAGTTAACCTCTCTGAACCTGCATTTTCTGTAAAATGGGCATAAGTGTGCATTCCTCAGAATATCCTAAATTAACTCATTTAAAGCCCTGGACCTGGGTCTGACATTTGAAAGTATTTTTTTTTTAATTTTTAAAGAATTCTTTTATTTATTCATTAATTTATTTTAATTTGACCAGAGAGACACTCAGAAAGAGAGAGAGAAAGAGAGAGAGAGAGAAAGCCACCAGGTCCAGGACTTGAACCATGGTCAGCCATGTGGGAGTATCCAGCGTCTTAACCACCACACCACCCACTGGTCCCATATTTGAAAGTCTTGGCCATGATTATTAGTCTCATTCTATAACCCACTGTTCACTCGGCAGCCCAGGATAATGTGACCAGGCCACTCCTTAATCCTCCTCAGGAATTCCCACCTTCCTCAGAAGCCCCAGTGCTGAACCTCAGAGGCCCCAGTGCTGACCCGTCTTCCTTTCACATCATGAATACTCACTGTTTCGCACATACCTGCTAAGGCTTGCCTCCCAGCCTTCGTGTGCTGTTCCTCAGGCCTGCGTTTCCCAAGTTTACAAGCACCTGTCCCAATGCTGCCTTCGTGAGACTCCTCCTCACACCCTCCCAGCAGAACTCTTGCTCCCCTTGTGCCTGGACCACCCTGCTCCAGGGACAGGCAGTTGTTCTGTGGCTCACTCCAGTTAGAATTCCCGAAGTTCAGAGTAGGTTCTGCACCCCCTGCAAGAGTGCCACAGAACTGGGCTGAATTTCAGCCCTTCTGGGTCTGAGGGCCTGGGCCTCCCAGCCCAGTGGGCAGGCTGGTGTATGAGCAGGGCCAATGACAGCAGAACGTGAACCTCGTGAGCTCTCTGCCAACTGCAATGCCCGGATTTCCTCCTTTAAGTGGCTTCCTCCTGGGGGCCTAGAATAGGAGTAAAGGCTAATGGTGGTGTTACGTGTAGGGCGGCCCAGATCAAGGGCTCCCCAAGCCAAGTGAGGGCGAGGAGATGGCTCCAGGCCTTCGCCAAAGATGTCACCTTTTGTGATGAGGACTTGAGGCAGAGCCCAGTAGTCTGGTGGCCTCTGGAGATGAAGGAAGGTAGGGTGTAGGACAAGACCACCTCCCCCACACCTTCCTTCTCACCCTGGAGTGGCGGGCCTTTGTCCCAGCCCCTGCTCTGCTAGGGCCAACTATGACTTCAAACCAAAGCATCTTCTCAGGGCCTGCATCTCCAGTTCCATCCTGTCCTACATGCTGACTCTAGGTGCCAAGGGTGGTGTCAGGTACAGAGAACCAAGGGACAGAAGAACTTGGTGTCAGAGGGCACTGGAAAGTGAGAAGTGGAGAGTTTTTTGTTTGTTTTTGTTTTTAGATTTTTGTTATATGGCGTGTGCCCTTGCCAGAGAGACACATATAGAGAGGTGAGAAACCACCCCCAGGGGGGATGGCCACACCACAGTTCCTTCTCCTCCATTCTCCTGAGATTTTGGGCACACATGCCCGACATGATTTTCAAACCGCAAGTTGGCCATGTGGGATCCAAGGCCTTAACCAACTCACCACCTGCTGGCCCAGGTGGGGAGATTCTATCACACTGAGTTCATTACTACCTGTCGCCAACCTTCTCTCCTCTGCCCGTACGCACACACGCTGGCCCACACCAGAGAACAGAAAAGGAAAGTTTATTGAAAACTATATACAGCTGGTCCGGCTCCTACCACAGGCTGCAGGCTGGGATGGCCCCTCCCACACCTCAGGCCGTGTCTCCATCCCTGAAGGAGGTGGCTCGTGCTAGGGCCAGGGCCCAGACGCCTGTGGGCAGCTTGGCAGCCAGACTCCAATGTGCATCTTTGTCTGTGGATGGACAACTCTACATGGCCTGGAGGAGGAAGGCAGGGGACAGGGAAAGGATCCCTTCCCTGACCTGGTCACAGCCCAGATAGGGGAACACTATTCAGAATCCTGGGCACAGGAGGGCCTGGCTAAGCTGTCCCAAAGTCCTGGCTGCTCCTCTCCAAGATGCCTTCCTGGACTTAGAAGCAAACAGCCCCCCTACCCCACCCCATGTGCTAAGTCTCTTGGGCTCCACAGGCTTGGACTGGGGACACTGGCACCCTTCCTCCCAATGCTGACTCAGGGCCCAGGCTCTGGGAGCACTCCCCAAACAGAAGGCTGGGGGTTAGGAGGTGAGTGAAGAGGAGATCACAGCTGAGGGCCCAGGACCAGTCTCCTGGGGCAGGGGTGGAACTGGGGGTCAGGGTGTCCCACTGTAGGAATAGTCTGCTTTATTGTGCATCACCAGCCGGTCATCCACGAAGTAGAAGCTGTCAGACTGCGTCTCGTATGGGTGACGGATCATCTCGCTGACTGCAAAAGAGGCCCAGCCCGGCCGGGCACAGGTCAGGAGCCTGAGCTAAGCTACTGCAGGGGCTTCAGGACAGGGGACAGGGACATTTGAACAACCTCAGTTCCTCAGCCTCTTTGAGCCTCAGTTTCCCTACCTGGGAACGGTGCTAGACACAAAAGAGACCCGTGGTGGGAAGGGGGTGGTCAGACCCATAAGTACACCTCCTCCCCGCCTCCCACCATCCCTCCCCCGCCCTCCCCCGCTTCCCCTGCCCACGCACTCAGCTCCTCGGAGAGCGGGGGGAAGTCGTAGATGTGCTCGCAAGTGTTCTTGCTGCTGGGGATGCAGAAGCCAAAGTGGAAGTCAAAGCTTTTGAGCAGCTGGTTGCGGAAGTAGTGCCTCTCAATCATGCGGAAGTTGTTGACAGGCTTGTCTCCCACCGTGAACTCCACCCTGAGCAAGAGAAGGGGGAACGGCTGAGTCTGGCCTTGACGTGTGTCCACTAGCCAGCTCTGCAGACCCCCATCACGAGAGGCTCAGGAAGGACTTGCTCCCACCCTCTCTCGCCCTCACCCCCAGCCCTCACCCCAGCCCAGTGACTCACGTGGCTCCCACCTGCCTCAGGCGGAGGAAGGCAGGTGTGAACTGGTAGCGGACAAAGCGCCCAGCATTGGGGTCCAGGTCCCGCCGGTTGATGGGCAACCGCTCTGCAATGCACCCCAGCTGGGGCTCAGTGGGCTTCAGGCTGGGCCCTGACCCACCCAGGGTTCCACCCTAGGGCTCCCATCCATTTGAATTCTTAAAAACTCCCCAGGTACACATTGAGGGTTCAGGCCATTGGCTAAGCGGTGCCACCTGGGGGTTCTAGGTTAGCAGGTCACCAATTTTGGCTGAAGCTCCCAGGACCACAGGTGCACTAGGTCCAGGCCTCTGGGACTGCAGTTCCCAGGGAGGCCCACAGAGGGCAGGCTGGCAAGGGCTGTCCTCCTACGATGTCCAAGCCCAGAAACAGGTAGGAAGGAAGGGGTCTCACGGCTTGCAGCCTCCTGAGAACGCTGGGGCCCAGGCTCCAGCTCTGTTCCGACTCCTCTGTGACCCGAGGGGTCCCTGCACAGCCCTCTCTGCAGCTCTCACCCGCCTCTCCATCAATGGCCCGCCCAGCCTGCTCACCTGAGGCTGGGGGCTTCTTGATTTCAAAGAGGACAGTGCCTGAGTCCATGTCCCGAATCTTGAACCTGACGAAGTCGATCTTGTAGATATTCTCCTCAGGGGAGCACAGGTAGTCTAGGGGAGACAGGCAGCTGAGCAAAGAGGGGGTCCCAAAGCCCCTGCTGCCAGGTCCACTTCAGTGGGAACCCCGATTAGTGACTGCTTTCTCTGATCCTCAGGGTCACTGCCCTCCAGAGAAAGGGGATGGAGCCCCTCCCTGGGGGAGCCCCCACAGTGTGCAGGAGACATAACTCGGCCATGGGGACATAATGCGGGATGAACAGCCCCATCCTTGTGGTCTCTGGGGGGCCAGGAAAGGGCAAGGCAGAGGATGGTGGGCAAGGCCCCCTCCTTATTGTCCCCCTCCCCCTGAGGCTACTCCGGCCTCAGCCACGGCTGGTTGGGTGCCTCTGACAAAATGGGTGTGCAGTCTGGGGGGAGCCCCCAGTATGTGAGGGAAGATTCAGCCCTGTCTCTGGGAACGGAATTCTAAAGGGGTGACAGCTCTGCCTTGGGAGACTCAGCCTTCTCTGGAGGACACCTCCTCCACCCCATGCTGCCCCTGGCACATCTGGACAAGTCAGGCAACGTTGATCTGAGGGGACTTCCCCTTATGGGCAGTGCCGGGGCAGGTGAACAACCCCTTCCCTGTTCCTGCTCATCCCCTAGGCCCCCATTCCTCCTAAGCGGCTTATGCAAGCCCAGCTCCCTTAAGCAGCTTACCCAAAGCTCTGCTGACTCAAACCCAGAGTCTAGGAGATTGGGGGGGGAGGGCCACCTTTGCTCCCATACTCTGTTGATCTCCGAATGGAAAAAGTCTTATGAGCAGAGGGAACCCCCTTGTGGGTCACGTATGCAGCCTGAGCTCTGAGCCACCCCCCAGAGTGAACGTACTACCTGACCCCAATAGAGAAGAGCCTAGGCCAGTCCAGGAAGAGGGCGTGGCAGGTGCAGCAGGGCTGTGGCTGGGGGTAAGGAGAGTCCTCAGGTCCAAAAGAGGGCCAGGAACAGTGGCAGGCCCTGACTGAGGGCGCTCAGGGATCCGCAGGCCTGACCTCACTCTCACCGCCCTAGCAGCAACTGCAAGCGCTCAGGGAGGCCCTGGCAACAGGTAGGAAGGAGGAGGGAGGCGCGGCGGGGGGGCTCTGGTGCCGTGAGCCTCTCAGCATCACATCCTCCCCTGGTGGCCCACAGAGGCCCGGAAACCACTGTTCAGGCCCCTGGGCCACCTCCTATCCCTCTGGGGCAGGAAGAGGAAGTGAATATAAAGTCACTCTCTCTTCCTCAGACCTGGGGCAGCCCCCTTCAGGAAGCCCTCCTAGCACCATTTGGCACCTTGAGGCCTTGCAGGGACTATAGAAGGCTTAGAGAGGGCTCTGAGCCCTGGCCTGGCCACCATAGGCCATGAGGGGTGGGAGAAGAAAGGGGAATGTGAGTGGACAGCCCCTACCTCACTCCGAATGTACCACATTTCACAGAAAGGAAGCCCTCATCCAAAGGTACTAGAAAGCAGGTGCAAGGCACAGGGAGAGGAGGTGGCCGAGGAGGGGCAGAATCCTAGTGCCAGGTCCCAGCTCCCACACAGCCCCGCTTCTTCGCTCTCCAGGTTCTGGGGCCTCTCCTCTTACTTAGAAACAACGCGTGTTGTCTGACCTCAGTCCCTCCTACTGCAAACTCCATCTATCGCCCCTCTGTCCTGAGAGGAAGTGAAAACAGGGATGCCCATGACCCAGAACACCACAGCTACTCCCTCCCTTCTTCCAGGGAGGGGTGCGGCCTGGGACCCAGGGTCAGGCCAGGAGGGGCAGAGTGGCCAAGGGCTTGGGACAGCTGCTCCTTTCCCCTCGGCCACAAATAGCTTCCTAAGCTGGAATCAGGGCTCACTAATCCAGGAAGAGCAAACCTCAGGCCTTTGTGATTAGGGTCAGGAGATGCCACAGTTGAAGGACCCGGAACCCTATTCTCACCCCTGCATAGGAAATGGCTTCTCCCGCCCGTCCATCTGTGATTCCTCATCTCTACAGGCAATCGATTTCCTCCAACTTGGGAGACACATATTGGTCCCTGTGTTGGAAGCCCACCCGGTGGCAAAATAAACCCCAAAAGTTACCTAGGACTAAAACAGGTCGGCCTGACCTTCGGACTTCCTATTGCTCAGTTCTGCCCAGGGCTATGGTAAATCCTAAATGCTGCTGCTGCACTGGCTCCAACACTGGCCTGGGCCAAGCCCCCGCCCTCCACCGATGCTTGCTTGGGCAAGGGAAGCTCAGAGATCTGGGGCCCAGCCAAGAGTGGCTGCAGCCCAGCTCAGAGAGGAGGGAGGAGAGAGAAGTGCCCCCCAGGGACCCCGACACACAGGCCCAAGCCCTCCATCGCAGCACCCCCCCTGAGCTCTGACTGCGAGCTCTGGGCTTGCTGCTCCTGCAGCTACCCTGTGCAGGCCCACTCAGTCCCAGTCCCATGTCCCCACAGAGGGGCCCCAAGAGCTGCTCTCACAAACGGAGCCAAGGCAGGTTGCTGAGGAGTAAAGGCACGGTGAGGGGCCACTCTCACTCCAAATACCTCCTGTCCTCCGAGGCTCAGCCCCAGCCTCTGCCCAGAGGCTTCCTCACCCTGGTCCCCTCCCTGTGGTGACCCTCTCCCCTGCCCTGGATGCCTGGTTGTCCACCTCCAGGCAGCCCCCCCTTGTGGGGCCCTCAATACTATTGATAAGAGAGCCCTATTGACAGAGTGTGCAAAGCATGCCAGGCGTGTACAAAATCCGAGACTTATCTGATGTTCACATTAACCTGATGAGGTAGTTGTCATTAGCCCCATTTTGCAGATGAAGAAACATGCCCAAGGAGGTGAAGTTACTCGTCCAAGGTCACACAGCCAATAACGTGGCCAAGCTCAGACTCCAGCCCAGGCAGTCCAGATCAGAAACTCAACCACAGCAGAGACTGGGTTTCCCTTGATGAGAGAGCCCCCAGAAGAGGAAAGGCCCTAGTCCAGGCTTAGGGGGGCATTAACCCACGCCCAGGACAGGGCCCACAGCCAACACACCGAGGCTTCCTGCTCAGTTCCTTTCCTGGGAAGGGTGATGGCCCCAGTCTTCCCGATGGGGACCTGCAGTGATGAGGGCAATAATGATCAGGGAGACCTGAGGGTCTTATGGCCTCCTAAGTACTCAGCCTCCCCCTAGTCTCTAGGGTGGGGGCGAGGACCGGCTGCACGCAGCCCCTCTCCCCGTGTCAGTGCAGAGACAGCCTCAAGGAGCTGAGGAAAGACTCCATGGTAAAGGAGTACAGTTGCAGCTGCTGCCCCACCTCCACCATGGGAAAGGGGGATGGACCCCTCAAAAACGCTGGAGCGGGGTGCACATAAACCTCTCAAGGGTGAGGAGAGGCAGATAAGATCAAGGGAAAGGGGGACATCTCAGGCTTGGAGGCATAGGAAGAGGAGTAGAGAGGAGGGGGACCCAGGTGGGGGAGGGGAGTCTGGGAAGGGCTGAGAAGGGGGCGGA